AGTTCGACTGCTAACCCAGCACTGCCAGGTCACCACAAAATCACATCCCTCAGCACCACATCTACATGTCTTTCAAATACCTCCAGGGATGGTGACTCCACCACTTCCCTGGGCAGCCTGTTCCAGGGCTTTACAACCCTTTTAGAGAAGAAATCTTTTGCAATATCCAATTGAAACCTCCCCTGGCACAAACTCGAGGCCATTTCCTCATGTCCTATTGCTTGTTACGTGGGAGAAGAGAGCAACCTCCACTTCACTACAACATCCTTTCAGGTAGAGAGTAATGAGGTCTCTCTTCAGCCTCCTTTTCTCCAGGCTAAACAACCACAGTTCCCTCAGCTGCTCCTCATAAGACCTGTGCTCTAGACCCCTCAGCAGCTTTATTGCCCTTCTTTGGACCCACGCCAGCACTTCAATGTCTTTCTTGTAGCGAGATGCCCAAAAATGAACACAGCATTTGAGATGTGGCATCATCAATGCCAAGCACAGGGACACGATCACTTCCCTAGTCCTGCTGGTCACAAAGTTTCTGATACAAGCCAGGATGCTGCTGGCCTTCTTGGCCACCTGGGCACACTGCTGGCTCATATTCAGACAGCTGTCAAATACCATCCCAGGTGCTTTTCCACAAGGCAGCTTTCCAGCCACTCGTCCCCAAGCCTAGAACGTTGCATGGGGTTGCTGTGACCCAAGTGCAGGACCCAGCACCTGGCCTTGTTGAACCTCAGCCCATTGGTCTTGGCCCACTGATCCAGACTGTCCAGGTCCCTCTGTAGAGCATGAGAGGCAGAAGAGGCATACAGCAGCTCTCTTCCTCTCAGGTGTTCTTCAACAAATAAAAAATTCACTTGGGCACATGGTGACAATGTGTGATGCACAAACTGTTTTCTCTCTACAGAGAAGCTAGTTCCCTCCATCTAGTGACATGAAGTCCTCTTCAGCTCACCAACCTCCCAGATGCTTTTATATGCGCCCTGTTACTGAAATCCTTGTGTTTTCAGCACCCATGGCATGCCACATCTTCCTGTAGTACATGACAGCCTCTCTGAGCAAGCACTGCAAATGTCAGGTTGCATCTCCTTCATCAACTTCCTTTGTTAGGAGCACAACAGGCACAATCCCAGCAAGTCAAGACAAAGAGCTAGCTGGAGCCTTCTGAGGTCAGGATCCCTTGTCTGGGCAGAGTCCCCCCAGCTGCAGGAAGAAGAAAAAGGAACAACCACATTGGTGATACACCATTTTTCATACACTTCTTCCCTCTAGGGTATCTATAACAATACCTGCCTTGTTTTCTGTTGGCAAACTTGGCTGGCTAATATGTTTGGTCTCACAGGTGTTTTGGTCTCTCCAGTCACTATCAACCATAGGCCATTAAGAAGTTCTTGTGCTAAACAAGGGAACCTGCATTCTGGACAAAAGTATATAGGCATATTTAAACCTGCCACCTGGTCCTTCTGAAATAACATGTACTTAACATGCTTGAGCAAAAAGATATATAGCAAATTGTTTAGTGTTCCAAAAAATATCAAAAGGCTCCCTACGTACCAACATGTTCCCTCCTATCAAATGTAATTATTATGTTGTGTGTGGCTTATTTCTATCATTGTACTTTGTATTCAAGTACCACACAAGAAATAATTCTCTTTCTGGAAGAAAAGCTTACTGGAAGGCCAGGTAGTTTTAAAAAATACAAAAGAGACTATCTGGCAGCAATCTAAGAAAGAACCCAGACTCACTGTGTCTCACTTTTCAAAACCATTTTTCCTCACAGTCACAACTCAAACCAGCATCTCCCACCAAACTTCCAGATCAGAATGAAGCAAGGTTACTATGACAGACAGACAGACAATTAATATCTAAGTCCATAATAATATTTTGAAAATAAAAATCAGTAATTCAAACTCATTCAATATTTCACAAAAAAAACTTAGGTGTGATGATTTGGGCAGCTGGTATTTATTATAAAACCACTTCGTTATTGGGAGTTCTTTCCTGTAGCTGCAGGAGGCTGCAATCTATCACTGCAGAGCCTGTTTACCCTGTGTCTCCTTTTTTGTTTCAATATTGAGCTGAAACCTACAGCAGGAGATAGGAATTATTATGCTTGGCGCAGGACTAACAATGCCATATCATTAAGTTTTGATGACTGTCTCAAAGGAAAGTAGTTTTCAAGTCTGAACTTGGGGGACAGGCAGGGGACCAAGCAACAGATCATGGGGAGAAACTTTGATCATGTCTCAGGTTGATCAAAGGGTCACCTGATACTTTTTAAAAAGTCTCTCTGGGCATCCTGGAGACAAAGGTAGAAGAGCCCAGGGGAGATATTCTAAAAGCAGACAGCGTTATCAATTGCAAGGCAGGCCATAAGAAATGGAAACTGGCTTCACAAGAGACGAGAAATAAGCTATGATTTGAAGAGAATTTTGGAGCAAAAGCAGAGTACTGAATTCCCCACAGTGCACAGATTTTGGCACCAAGTACATTCAGGAAGAAATGGCAAGAAAATTTGTGTTCATTATTATTTGGTTTATCTTGCTTTCTTGGAAGAATCAAAAGGAAGACTGATTGCTTTTAAAAGGCATCACAAGGACTCAAGAATCCACCCTGTGCTCAATTTTTATCCATTTTCCTAACTCAGTAACACAAATCTCTGGCAACAAAACTGCCAGACACTACAAAAACAGGCAGACACATTTCCTTGTCCCCTGCCTGGCAGCCGTCAGCTTCTGGATTCAGTAATAGAGCAAAGAAATCCCACTGGAATTTCATCCTCCAAGAGCCAGCAGCAAATCCCATGTACTTCTGAAGAGATAAGCAGCGGCCAGCCAAAAAACAGAGATTTGCATTCTTCAGGAAAACAAAGTCTCGGGGAGTGCTGCTTCTGTCTGTCTACAGTCGGCTCCTCTTCTGCCTTGCATGTGGCACAAGCTTCTGTGACTGTCTGTGTCCATGCAGCCAATGAAAATACTACTGCCTGCATTGCCAATTGACCCAGTGCCTGTAAAACCTATCTGAATGGTAAACACAGACTTCAACAGGATTTTCTGCCCTCTATCCCTCCTACTGCTGGCACTTAAAACATTGTTTTGCCTGAGGACACGTTGGTTTACTTTAAAATAGGTACCACCACATAGGTACAGCAGCATTTACTTATTAGGTGTAGTTCACGTGCCTCATTTTCAAAGTACTATTGGAGAAAGATGCATACAAATTAACCTCTACCTGAGCTCTGCCTCAGCAAGATGAAAATTCATCTGCTGAAGATATATGCTGTGGATGACTTCAGAAAATGAGACTGAAGCCCTATGCATTCAGAGGGTATATGCCTGCCTGTCGAGAGCAGCACAAGAGAATGAAGGTTTATGAGGAGGAGACAATAATGGATGTTTGTCCAGCCCTGACAGACACACTAATGCAGTTAACTTCTTCACTAAGAAAGAATTGATTTTACCTGATACCGCTAACTTAAGATGCATAAGCCTGACTTTGCACTCCATAATCTCAAGCTATAGAGAGCAGATAAAATTCAAATAATCAAAACACTTTGTTTTCTGACAGCCATATATGTACCTAGCCAAATGACAAGTAAGTCAGTTTTACTGTATTTCAATGCCTAGCTCTAAAATTACATGAAAGAAAGGAATATACTCTCTTCACTTAAACCAACTTATAGTTTCAAGATTTTTTTTTATCTAGACTACAAATTAAACTGTAAACATCTTAAGTTGAGAAGAAAGAGCAGCAAAGGACAACAAGCCAAATTACAGACATTAATTACTCTACAGAGCACTAACATTCTTCTAACATATTTTTTCACTGTTTTACTGAAATTTAAATTGTATTACAGTTCTTGAGTAGACATACTAAATCTACATTCAATAAATGTAAAGAACATAGACTTTCTGACAATTCAAAAGTTCACGTGATGTCTCACTTCATACTGAGTCTACGCTCATTACAAAATGTTACACTTTTTTGAAGGTAACAGATAAATAAAAAATATTTTAAATGGAACAAAACCCTCAGGCTAACTTTCAAGGCAGGAAACTGTTCCATTCAGTGGATAAGTAACACCTGCAGAGGAACAGTGTAAAACAACACTTACAAAAATGCTAAGAAGTCAGACCATACTCTGAAGACCTCCTGCTGCCACTTCCTTGGCTTTGCCAGGCCAGCAGAGGCAGTACTACTTTGATAAGGAAAGGGCTGAAGCCTGGATCTCCTAACACCCTTCTCAGCGAACAAAAGTCACATTTTTGCTAAGGAGAAAAGCACATTTCCTGAGCAGCAGAAAGCAGAGAAAGGATGTATGCATTCTGACCAAAGCATCAAACTGATCTGGGCCGTGCTCCAGCTGGGAATTCAGCTCCAGGCAGCTCAGCAAATTCCCTAACTGTCATCCATACAAACTGCACCTTTGGATGTCACATGAAGTACAGAACAACTTGCACCGTTAGTCATGAAGAAGACCAAAATTACATAGGTCAGTAGAACTGAAGGCTTTAGCACTTTCACATACCACAGGTGACATGCCAAAGGTCACAGCCATACAGTGAGAAAAACTCACTTCCAAGTCCTACTTCACACTGACTTGCTCTCACACGCTGACACCGTATACAAACAGCAACATGCAGCACAGTGTTTTGTTGCTGTTTACAAGCAGACCTTCGCAAAGTTAGGATAAACCTTCTTTCCAATGTGTTGTTCCCAGTACCTTCCTTAATAAGAAAATGAAAGAAAAAATAAGTTTCAAGTTCAGCATGACAAGACTATATCTGTACAATAAAAAGACACATTAAATTAATTATTTTTTTTTTTCTGAAAATTTCCAACATCCTACTCTCTAGATAAAATTTCTGAAAGGAAAAAAACTCACTCGACATAGCAATGAAACAATAAACATATGAGTGTGCAGGGCAAGGGCCAGGGAGGAGTAGAGGTATTAACAGGCTGTCAAAGAAAAGATGTAGCTTATACACAGGCAGCACGTTTCTACTCACTGTATTAGGTACATATGGCAATCCATAAATTTTTTCCTGTGTTTCCTTTAAAATTTCTGTGGTTGACTTTTTTAGAGGATGTTTCCCATGGTATATTTGGTCCAAGGCAGCATAAAATACCTGGAAAGAGAAAATACATGTCTGTCTTTGGCACATGCCATTGGCATCTGACAAGAAAAAAAGAAAACTAGAAAAGGAGTGAAAAAATAGGAAGAGAGTAGGAGGAGATAAAGAGGGAAGAGTTTAAATACATATGGGTTTGTAATCTTCAGTATAGCATAAAAGGAGACAAATATGGTTTTGGAGTATACCAAGCACCAGCACGATGACCTATCGTAAATTTTGCTTTAGGTCACTGAGAACACTGGCAGTACTAATCCAACTGCATTTTTAAATAAAAATAAGACCGCTTCCCAAAGCTCTCCAGCGATTCCCCTTTTCAAAAAGAGTATTTTAAAACAGATTTAATAAAAATGTAAAAGTTATTTGGGGGTATGCAGCAAAGCAAGCTATTCCAAGGCACGTGCCTACAGCCATGAGAACACATCACGCCTGCAGGGGCAGGTCACATCCCAGGCAGTGAACATATGAAGATGCCCATGCAGCTGCTGATGCCCTGAGTTTCTGCTAGAGCACTCAAACAGTGTATTCCCAAGGCAGAGGCTTCCTTTGCTTTAGCTCTCACCGTCAGAGCAATAAATTGCTGCAGGATAAGCTTAGCCTCAGATCACACTGCACCAGGAGGGCACTTCACCAGAGCTAAGAGCTGGTTCACAGGCAATTTTTGTGCAGAAGCATATGAGCTACAACAAACAGGTGTGTGGCTAAATGTCTGAGGTGTCTGGAGATCAGGACCAAGAAAAAGCTTTTTCAACCAAAAAAAGCAATGCAGAGTATCTGGCACTTTAACAGCAAACATGAAGCAGGCATGGATAGAAGACAGTGCCAAAGCTCAGTGTGTGCCTTCACTGGAAAACACTGCACCATTTCTTTTTCTTTAATATTAAAATTTCCTATTCTGTGGAGGTGCAGAAAGACAGAAGAGGAGAATACCCACAGCTGTGCAATAATTTTTGAGAAGTTCGGTGAATCTGGAATTTTAAGCCTAAGAGTTCAGGTCAGGCCATCCTGTGGTAGGCACATTTCATGGGAAAACTGACAGCAGGGAGCCTCAAAAAGCTTTTGTGCAAGTGATGAAGCAAATCATTTGGGTAGAGATTCAGGTCCAGTCACACTCCCAGGGATGCTGTAATTAATACCACTCCCAATGAGATAAACACACTGTTTTAGGAATTATAACCATAAAATGCAGCAATTTTATGGAGAAAAGGCTATTTGGGGACATTCTCTATCCATGGAGAATGCCTCCAAACATCCATAGAGAATTTTTGTTTTATGCTATCTGAATAACACAACCCACTCAACTTCTGAAAATATTCTTTATAATGAAACTTGGATACAAAACCATTCTTAGCTCTTTAATAATTTATCAGGAACCAGCATTTATTTTATTTGTGCTTGATATAACGCATACTTTCAACCTAAATTGTAACTGTTTCTAAAGGAGCACACTCCTTCTGGTTGAATAAGCTGTCTTCTAACATACAGAAACTCCATAGACTCATAGTATCATAGAATGGTTTGGGTTCATAGAGACCTTAAAAGATCACCTAGCTTCAACTCACCTGGTATGTGCATGGACACCTTCCACTAGACCAGGTTTCTCAAAGCCCCATCCAGTCTGGCCTTGAACACTTCCAAGGAAGGGGCATCCATAGCCTCTCTGGGCAAGCTGTTCCAGTATCTTACCACCCTCCACAGTAAAGTATTTCTTCCTCATATCTAATTTAAATCTACTTCATTCAGTTTTAAACTCTTACCCCTTGTCCTGTCACAACATATCCTTATAAAAAGTCCCTCTCCAGCTTTCTTGTAGGCTCCCTTTTGGTATTGGATGGCTGCTATAAGGTGTCCCTGAAGGCTTGTCTTCTCCAGGCTGAACAACTCCAATGCTCTTAGCCTGCCCTCATAGGAGAGGGTGCTCCAACCCTCTGATCTTCTTCATGGCCCACCTTAACCCCAGCTCAAGCAGGTCCATGTCTTTCTAATTATGGGGATCCCAGAGCTGGAGGCAGTACTCCAGGAGGGTACACATGAGAGTGAGGTAATGGGGGAGAACCACCTCCCTCAACCTGCTGGTCACACTTCTTTCCTTTGACAGTGTTTGCCAACAAATGAAAAAGGGGAAAATTATTTTTCTTCAAGAAAAATGAGGATTATAAGGAGAGGGGTGAAGAAGCCATGACTTGCAGGAACTACTCCTGAATTCCCTGTTTGCTTCTTATGTGGCTAATAAAGAGAAAAGAGGTCAGTAAGACCTAAACTTGTACAATCAGCGACTAATGACATTTCAAGTTTTGCATCCCAGATAGTAACATTGAACAAGAGATGCAAACACAATGTAACATAGCCCATCTACAAACCCAGAGTAGGCAGCAAATTATCTGCTCAGGGGATAACTCCAGGAAGACCCTGTACCAAATGGCAAACAATTATGAGTATTTTTAAAAACCAAATTTTGCAAGGGTATTTTAAATTTCCCATCTGAAGAGGAAACATTTCAATATGTGCTGCTAAGGCCCAAACATGTTTTCAGCTCGGTCCGCTGTACAGACCCACCCAAGGCTGGTTTAAAGCCAAATCATGCTGATCATAGGTAGACATCTAGACAATGGTTGATAAATTAATAGCAGGTGTGTTTATGCAGGGCTTATATTTTAGCATTTACTTAGACTGAAATAGAGCTGCTTAGTACTGTAGGAAGTATTAACAGAACAGTGGGGAGTCTTCACCCGACGGAAGCAGACCTGCTGCTGATAACTCCGACGTCAAACTAAATATTGAAATGAGAAAAGAAGAAGCTGCTGAAGAAGAAGAATTGAAGTGACTTGACAAATGATGAATTTTAAGCACATGAAGACTCCGTGGAAAGCTACAAAGGATTAGTATCTTGTGTAATCAGCGATGGATAGGGATATAATCATACATGAAGCTCTGTATGCTTGCTATTCAGTGTGGTCATAGCCCAGCTCTGAGTTGTGTTACTTGAAAGCAGACCTAGTGTACCCTGAGATTCTGACAATTGTGTTACACCATCACGATAATGATAACATGAAAAACTAAATACCTAAAGAAAAAACTATATTACATTCCAAAAACTACAATATTTTTTGTGCTTATCTCAGAAAAACACAGAGGCTTTGCAATCTCTTTGCTTGTACTTTTCATCCTCAGAGCGTGTCTCTAGAATCCTGGTTCATTTTTAAACTAAGTTTAACAAAAGCTACAGCATTTATTGTAGCAAAAGTGACTGAGAGTATGACCAATAGTAAGTACCATGAACAGATCTGAAAATCACCTGATGTAACAGTCCACTTTCTCCTGTCACCCTAGGCTTTCATGACTCTGCAGGAGTCATTTAACATCGACTTCCCTCTCCTCTCAAAAAAACCAAAGCAAACATGAGGAACTTCAGCATCGGACAACAGACTTTAGCAACCTCCTTCAGCTCAGCAAGGTTCTCCTCTTCCTGTCTCCCAGCTTTGTTAGGACCTGTTCACATTTGCTCTCCAGTGTTCCTCAGAAGATGGAGTGGACTACATTGCAGTGGACCTTCTCCTAAAGCAAAATTTGGAGTCAAGTGGTTTGTGGTCAGGAAACTGGAGCAACAGCTCAATTCATATTTGGGCAGTGGGAAAATGCCAGCGGAAGGCCAGTGAGATGGACTGCCTAAAGAATAATGTGGTGACAGGGAAATGAGTCACAGAACCCAGCTATGAGATTGCCCCTGATCCTGGCACACGTGAAGTGTGGGAAGAAAGCTATGAGCCAGGTCACCTGGACAGTACAAGTAAAAAAAAAAATCTATCCATGAAAATAAACTTGGATGAACTTTATGGCCATAAGTATTCCCATCTACAAATCACAGTTCTGTGTGTTTACACAGGCCCTTGAAATAGGAAAGGGAGACACATGCCACGACTGCAGGATTGGAGGTGATACTGCTGAGGAGCATGCTAACACTTAATATCAAGCAGTAGCTAGGATATGATTTCTAGGTTCACTAAAAGACATTTCCCAAAAGACCTAAAAATATTAAAAGGCCATCAAATAGTTACTATCTTCAAACTGTCTATTTTGCACTGACATTGGTATTTACTAGTTTAATTTGATTCCAGTTCTTTATAGCTTCTTGTCTGCTTAATAGCATTAATATGTAAACAATTACACATTTTCCAGTGAAGTTAGTACTGACTGAAAGAGTCTGGGACTGAATTTACATGGCAAAAGCCTTATGAGAAGATGCATAGACTCTCCTATCTTTCCTCCTGAGTGATTATATGAGCTGGAAGAAAATGCAGAGATATTACACTTATTATGAAAAAAAACATTTCTTATTTTCACATGCCAATAGATTATTTTCTGAATAGAAAACAAAAAGAACGTTTAGGCATTTCTCCTCATGGCTGGAAAATTTGTAAGCATATTTCTTTCTTTTAAAGGTCAAATACAGCTTACATAGCATCTAGTCATCAAGAATACACTCTTTGCAAGGTGTGAAGGAAAGGTATTAGAGCTATCATTAACATTTTTTTCAGGTATATACATCTGTAGTACATATACACTTCAGCATATGCAGACTGGAATATGTGATTTTCCTCAATGAATTATAAGATGTTTAAATCTTCATGAGGCAAAATAAACACTTCTGCAGAGGAATGTATAAACTTCATATTTGCCATGTATTCAGCTTCTCTGGGACATTTTTTCTGAATTAGTAAACAAAATGGATCTGCCAGTTTGTCTCTTTGAAACGAGTGCATGCTTCTGTTGGTATTACATTTGGAATCTCCAAAAATGTGGTGCTGAAAGTAGGAAATGAATAGTATTCAGTGTGGCATTGTGGTCATTTGGCACAGCTGAGACTGGTTGAACATTTGTTACACAAGAGTAACTTGAGGGCAAGCAGTCTGTTTAGTCACTGCACTGTTCCCAGCACCAGTCAATCATTAGGCACCCGCAAGAATTTAAGCCCACCAGAAGTGGGTGTTCTCTCCCTGGTTCTAGAGCTATGGGGCCTGGTGTCACTCTGGGACAGACCCTACAGAGAGCCCAGGAGCAGCTGAGAGACAAAAGTGGCAGGGGGACTGCACAGCCTACCCCACTGGACCAATGCAATGAGCCCACCTTGACTGACTTCTGGAGAATGCCACCCCTCCTGCCACAAGACAGGGAGGTCATGACACTTGTTAATATATATGACTTAAAGTGTTCTTGGTATCCCATCCCATTTAATCCTCATACTGTCACTTTGGTCTCAAACTTTGACAAGATTATAGCAAAAACATATTAAAAGTTGAAAGGAAATCTGTCAGATCTATACATAGCTATTATGGACACACCAGAAAAGAATGGGTGCATGTGAAAGCACTTGATCATCACTTTGGTGGTTAGTAGTCTGTACATGGGCACATGTTTCTGTGTTGGTGGACTTCACAAATACAGCTGTCTCTGTATGAGAACTTTTCAGAGCCAGGAGTATGTATTTCAAAATCAGACCTGCCAAGAGGGTGTAGTTATTTTCATGTCACAGAGGCATAGCCACAGGTAGCACCCTCCTTGTTCATGCCTGCAGTCACAAGTGGCCACTGACAGCCAGCGCTGCACTGACAGCAGAATTCAAAAATCTGTTATGTTTAACCAGTGAAAAATACATGAATACACTGAAAAGAGTGTTAAGTCTGGTTTTGATCAGTGTAACTGACATGTATACATCTACAGGTCCACACTCCAGCATTCGGATTACTTTTAAATCACTATAAATAACTGCACAGAGCAAACTGCAAATATTTAACTAAGTTTTCCTTTTAAATCAAACTCAGCTAACCAGCACAACTCACATTTGGAGGCAGGGCTGCAATCATTTGGGCACTTTTCAAAGTGAAAAATTACAAAGATCTGATCTTTAAATTTGTTTCTTTCCACACCTCAAAAATAATGTCTACCCTTCATTAAGGTACTAGCAGAGTTATCTCACCTAAGCACTAAGTAAACTGTAAAAAAAAAACAATTATATGCTTCTAGGTTAAGTAAAAACACAGAAGAAAATGAAATCACATAAAAAAAAATATCACAGAGTAGAAGCTTGCAGCATACTAAATGCAGCCAAACTCTCACTGTATAAAAACTTGGATGGATGCTAATGCTACTGTTCACATCTGAGAACTGTTGTTCCAGGACTGGAAAAACCTAAATACCCATTTTAGACAGAATGTTTATTTCCTTTACTTTCTTTGAAGAAAAGCAACACTGGTAGTTTGTTTATGGGATTGACTGATCAATCACATCTACCCATGGAAAATAAAGGTTTATGAATTTAACTGTTGCTCCTCACACTGTAACAGAGAAATCTTACAGCCTTATAGCTCCACCACCAATTTTGATGGCAGTCACAAGTTGCCACTTTCATCATGGAGGTGCAGAAGACAAGGAGCTCAAATCACACTAGTACATAAATGAGCTGGTTGTAGAAAGGTGGCCTGTATCTCTCAATCCTGCGACACTTTAATGATCAAAAAGTATGTAATACTTCCTCTGCTCCAAGTTCTCTTTAAATGATTAAGTTAATTTAAGAACTCAGTCTAAATGACATTTGGGAATTCTGATAGTCCAACCATTTTTAAAAGCTATGGTTCTCACAATATTTTCCTACAGATTTATATACTTAATTTTAAGGAGACAGCACAAAATACATTCAAAGAAACAAACATGAAAATTAATATTAAAATTAATTAAATGTATTCATTTTCACTAACTTGCTTGACAATGTCTACATCAACATAAAAATTTAGTAACATTATAAGAACTAGAATATGTTCTGTAAGTTCTGGATAGATAGTAGAGACTAGAATGCAAAGAACATACCTGGAGTTGCATATCAGCTGCAGCACACACCTTTTTGGACTCACATAGTCTTGACACCATGTTTTTTGGCAGTGGCTTGAATTAAAAAAAAAGAAAGAACAAATTTAGAATTCTTCTATATTTGTAAATAGTATGCTTACTACTAGAAACGGCTGAAGATGCACCCAGAAATAGACTCCTTGTGGTAATAAAAACATATTTGAAGTGCTTTGCATTGAGGAAGGAAATATCATTCGGAAGGAAGTATCATTTGCTAAACAAAGTATTAAATAGGCAATTTAGATATCAGCAGTAATTTACATAGCAAACAAGAAATCACTGTGTCTCAGTATTTGTTTTTATATAAATTGATCCTATGTTCCCCTATATGCCTATTAAGAATATTAGAACTATCTTAACAGCTAAAGAACAGGTGGGGCAGTTAATGTCCTCCCAGGTCATCCTGACTAATCTTCAAAAGCAGATATTAAAATAGAATCTCCTGTTGGTCTGCAAGCACAGTTCACTTAGATTTACAGAAGCTCATTCACATAGCTCCCAATGACCTGGCAAGGTTTTCATAATTTCAACTGGGACAGCATCAGGGTTTCTTCCCTAACCCACATAAAAATGTTCGGTCATACCAAACAGTAAATATCTACCCTTTGAAAATTTTAACAAAGTTGAATTTATTCCACATCTATGGTAACCGCAGGCTGGAAGTGAGATATTTTTCAAGTCATCAAGCAAACTCTCTTTGATTTTTTATCCAGATGTCTACAAGTACCTCCAAAGACTTTTTAATGCCAGATTTTTAAGAGTATCTGTATATTAATGCTTGACCTTACAATTCTGCTGCTGCTTTCTGAAGCTGTCAATAGATGTTTTTCTTAGTGAGCATATCCTTTTTCTATTTGTGGTTTTATTGACTGAATGTATTAAATATGGTTAAGATAACTGGGTTTTTGTTAAAATATTGAGAAAGGTACTACAAGTTGTACAATGTAATACAGATGTTTGGTATCACACTGAACTCTAAAAGCATACCTATGCCTTTATAGTGTGTTGAAGTGTTTAAGAAATAATACATGGAAGTCTACAGATCCTGATGACAGAGCGACAGGTTTCGACTCCGTGCAAATTATATGACCTCAATACAAACAATGTTAATGTTCACAGAATAAAAACCCAGCTCCAGAGAAGTTACACGTACATGAGGGAAATGTTATCAATTAATTCTGTGGAATCTGGAAGCTAAAGCAGATACAGAAAACTCCCAAGTTGCACAGCTGTTTTATGCAGTAGCTTGCCAAGGCTTGTAACCTCTTCTCCAAGACAAATCTTAGCTGGGTCAAGAATGGGATAGAACAACACCCACTATTTTGCCTGTCATAAATGTGCACAGCTGTTAAATTTCAACACAGAAAACTGGACCAATGAGCACAAAGTCTGTCCTATAGTATATCCTTGTTAGGTCAGTACTTACCCTTCTATACCCTTGTTAGGCCAGTATTTACCTCTTCCAAATACAAAAATCCTGTTTCAAATTACAGGGTGATTATAAACTACCAGAGTTAAGAGTAAATGGGCAGTTACCCATAGTTATAAAGATGTTAGTAGCTGAGTACCCTGAGGTTCCATACTGGATTCTCTAATGTTCAACATACTACTTAATTACATTGAAAACTTATTAAGGCAAGAAGCAAAGTTGAAAAAAAATTATAAATGGTAAAAAGTCTTTCAGTTAGACATTTTTTCTCCTGGTCCTATGAATATCTCTTGTCTCATTTTCTTATACAGAGACATGCACTTCAATTACTTTTCATCCTGGAACTAAAGCACATGTGGGTTTGCAATACCATATTTTCAGGTGTCATGCAAGAAACCCTTGTGTAAGAAAACCTACAGAATTTTGAACAGATTTTGGTATTAAGCACCACACTTATCAGCAGGCTTTGGCAGTTTTTAGGCATGCTTTCATTTCCTAGTGAAGTAGTGAAGTATGGAATTAAACAAAACCAGTTTCTTCTAGGGGCACCTGTATTTGTCCACTGTAAAGTATGAGAAAACTAGATGGAAATTCTTAAATTGTAGTTTGTCAGTGTTAAAAAAAAATGAACATCCAAAAGCTTGGCAACATAAAATACACATATTTTACATGACTATAATTTAGCAGTGTTAAAGCCAAGAGCACTCCTACCATCAAGGTCAAACCAGCTCTTTCAACATAATGGACCTTCAATTTTATATTTTGACTATATTAAATGCTGGTAAAAGGAAGTTAAGTGGACAGGCTTTCAGCTGGTACACAAAATAAATAGAACAAAAGGCACTAAGACTTTCTAATCGGCATTTTGGTAAACCACAGTCCCACAGATCTTCAACTCAGTTGTGTAATCCAAGTTTGCAACACAGTGGGGCACAGAGCAGCAAGGTCCAGTGATGCGGACAGCCCATGTGCTCCCTGGGGGAGCTGGTCACATCCAGCCCTGCTCAAGAAACAACTGAAGCTGCTCTAATTCTCAGTTGAGAGCTAAGCATTTCTTACAGCTCTACACCCAAGAAGGTCTTGCTGCCTTTTTTTTTTTTGACTGTACTGCAAAGAGTTGACCTCAAGCCAGAGAAGACTGCTGAAAAGGCTGCCTCTGTATTCACCCACTTCTTCCTTGCACTCTCCTACAAGCACCTATCTTTCTATAAATCAAAATCCCAAGGGGAGACAAAGAATGATCATTAATAATGTACTAAAATGTCTTTGCACAGGAGATGGCTTAGCACCACCTTCTAGAGAACAAGTAAAATGTAGGTAATATTAAAAGCCTTCTCCAACAAAAATTTTTTTTGCAGCCACAAGAACAGCAAACAATGTAAACCTCTCCGCCCTGAAGATCAAGCTATACTGTTTGAGGAGATTAAAATCAACAGGAAATTACAAATCATTCTTATGGCAATACCTATTGACAAAAAGGCACACGAAAAAGGCACAAATGATCTTTCTTTAAATCTGTCAATGCTACTGATCTGGCTCTAATATTGCTGTGATCATAATTCTCAAGCCAAGCAGAATTTGGCACCAGAAAAACACCAACAAAATTAATTTGAAAGAATGGTAACAAGAAGATCACTCATTCTTCCCAAAGATTTTAAAATTTAAGACTAGTATTTTAAAATTTAAGATTTTGGGCAACTAAAATTAGACTCTAGAGTCTTTTTCAAAGATCACCACTCCTCTTCAAAGTTTGTTCCTGCAATGTCAGGCATACAGATATGCTGAGGTCTTGGATGTACTGAGGAAGATGTGCTGTTTCAGCAACAGAAACTATTTCTCCTTGCTCCATTACAATCTCATACAGCCCCTTAATAAGCAGCAGAGTGAAGAAAAGAATGCATTAGCATGATTATTTTACTTAGCCTGAAAAATGAGCTCTCCAATTAAACCAGAATCAAACTGTCATCCTTCCAGAAGAAAGGCTTCACAGAGCTTTGGCTAAAAATATGTTAATTGAAAAACCATTCCATTTTTTAAATTTAAACACTACATGCTTTCCTTTGGGTTCCACTTTTCCATCCTTCTGTATTAAGTAACTTTAAGATCTTGGCAGGGATTTTTCAGCATCTTTGCCATAATGGCTAAAAAGACAGAATTCCCTGTGTCCCAAAGCATGCTTAACTCCATATTGCTGTGTAGTAACCACAACATGCTACGACTGTTTACTATCTGTGGGATTATTCTTGTAATCATGTTAATACAAAACTGACTTTATTCTCTCTGAAAAATGAAGTCAGTTCAAATTTGAACAGCTGAAATACTGGTCTTTGCTCAAGAAAGCCTCCAAAGACACAGAAGCTTAAAATGATTTAGCTCAACAGACCTACCACATATCTGTGTACTTAAATGAAAACTAAACAAACACACAGCGCTACAGGATGATTCACATGCACCAGGTTGGCTGCTTAAGCACTGTTACAACCTCATTTTGGTACAGCTTGACTTCATGAGCTTGCCTAAATAATTCAACTGTACTAATTAACACAGTCCTCTCCATCCCTTTTTTTTTTCCCCTCAAGGATTTTCTGTTTTGAGTTATCTTCAAGATGAAAGGAAAACTAGGCTTGCTACTTTCTTGGAACAAATATTTTTGTGCTGGCCAGCTTTTTGAACTAAATTCACAAGACTTACTCCTGCCAGAAGAGCTTGCAAGCTTTTTCACTCCTCAAGTACTCAACAGCACAACCATCCAAAAGGCACAGAAAGCAGAGACAAGCTTTCTATAAACTTTAAGTGATTTTGGACCAGATCCTCATGATCCACATCTATATGCATAACATGGTCTCATCTTTGAAGGCCTGCCCACCAAATCTTTTTTTCTGCAACGCTACTAAAAAAGTTCTCAACAGTTCATCTGTATTATTAATCAAAACAACACCTCTTTCCCCTTCTCTTCCCATAAGCATAAGCACTGATCCTGAGTGAGGAACCTAAGAACCAGTCTACAATTGGCTTTTATAGCAAAGGCAATCATAAACTGAGACTATGCTACTGAGATTTTTTGATGTAGTTATATTCAGCAGGAGTCTTAAAAAGACACCACTTAAAATTTACGTACAAAAACTAGACACATAGATGTAGTAATGCCCACAGAAATATACTTTTTCAAATTACCTGCACTGCCTCCTTGCAACCTAGGTCAGTAAAAAGCCCTCCTGTCAACATCCAGCAGAGCTATTTTGCTGTAGTTGTAGGAAAGATCCCTCTCACACAGAAAAATTCTGTCTCTTTATTCATAAAAAAAGACCTGATAGAAGTTCTCATATGGATAAAATAGCTTTACAAGTTTCACATTTTAACTGTTTCACTCACCTTCCTTATTTCACACTGAAAAGGGTGTAAAGTGGACTAATTTTTCTTTAAAAAAAAATTTTAAATGGAAAAGAAAATGTTGAGTCACATGTCTATTTGCACACACAAAAAATTAGTCGGGGAACAAGCACAGAAAATATAAGCCCCAAAAGGATTTTTGTGAAGTTGTAAATGTAAGAGAGGTGGGATTTTCTGTTCAAAGTACTTTGTAACATATACACAACAGACAAAAGTCATTGCTGTAACAATCACTAAATTTCAAGAACAGAAAAGATGGCTTCAATCTATGCTTATTTAAACGACAGATACAGAAATCTGATTCTTAAAACCAGTTCAGATGAACCAATATAAGCAACAGCAGATTTATATATGTTGGATAATGGCTTAAAAATACATTCTGATTTTTTTAAAAAGCAATTAGAAGGAAGCCATCTAAAGCCCTCAAAAGCCACACATCAGTTTCAGGCTCTTTTTCTCATCATCTAGCATAATCCATTGTTGCCCCTTTCAAGACTGAATTTCTACATTAAACCTCTCTCAATTGGTCTCTGAAAGGGCAAGATTTCACCACCGATAAACAGAAGAAGTTTATGGAAATGCCAAATGGGAAACAGTGTCTGGTTCTTAGCTTTTGCACTGTAACTAAACATGGTTTAGATTTGTTAAGCCATTTTGAAAATACAAAGCTATTAATAATGTTCCGCAAATGTTTTTCAGATGTTTTAGTCAAGTTCATTCTCTGAACTCAGATGCAATCAGGTTAACTCCACAATGTTTAAACACTACATGAACTTTATAGAGAACACTTAGAAAGTAGTATTTTGATGGGTGGACTTAAACATATAAATGATGAACACTCATGAACCGAGTACTTTTTACTCCCAGGTTTCAAGGAGACCTTCTTAGTGCAATCAATTCTGCAGAAATGATTGCTGTGTGAAAAAAAAAAAAAAAAAAACAAACAAATCAACAACAAAAAGAGGCAGATTTGCGGAGCAAATTTCTCAGTATCTCTTTAAAAAGAAGTTAAGCAACATATTTTTCTAACTGTTGTTCAGTGGGGGCAAACATAATTCCACTTGCATAATACTGAAATATACTGAATGCTTAGTATTGGATAAAAAACTTCAATGAAGTGTAATACTACACAGCTTAAGAGGCTTTCTTGTTTTGGCATTAATGGGTAGTCTGTTCTTCAACCATCACATTCTGAGTACACCAAAATTTGCCTCAATTAAAAAAAGCACTAGAAAAAGATATTTGTTTATTGTTTACTGGTTTGTATTTTTGAAATGGCTGTATAAAGACAGATCATGTTCTGCTGCCGTGAGTTAAAATGACCACTGAAAGTCACCTTGTTTCTAAAAGCACTGTTCTGTAAATCACCCACAGGAAGTACATCCTTACAGCAGACTGGCATAAAACAGCTTCATGTAAAAAAGTAATCAGACTTTTAATGCAGAGATCCATGACTGCCAGAATCTAATTATTCTTAATCTAATCCTAAAAAAAGCAGTACACTTTTCATCACAAAATATTTCAGTGATTACCCTACAATGTGCTGAAAACAGGAGGTTTTAAACACTGCAGATCATTGCCATTTATTTCTGTGATTTGGTACCTGGGCTTTATTTTAATACAGACTTTAGAGAGATCAGTGATGAATCACTGCTTTTGTCATAACTTACCTATAATTAAATCAAAGCATTCCATATAACAATCCACACAGAAGTTGTTCACCTACTACAGTAAATCTCTGTAGCTTAGAAACTACACAACCTTTGTACAAAAAAAAAGGTTTAAAGTTTTAAATATGCAATTGGAACTTTGGATATAAGGATTTGGTAGTCTTTTAAAGATTACTTTTATCTTTTCTGCAATGACAATATTAACGTTTTTTCTGAATAATTGAAATGAAAATATTAAAATAATTTATATCCCTCTCTTATTTCTACTTTAAACATTAAGGAACACATGAAAATGTAATTCTTTTCCTGAATACATTTCTTCCTATTTTCAGCATTTTACATATGAATTTTCCCCACCTGTCCTGTTTTATAATGCCTTGCAAACTGGTTAACCACTCGATAGTCATTTGCAAAGTACTCCATCAGAATTGAGGGAACTTCAGCAAAATCAGTAGGACATCTGGTTCCTAAAGACAGAATAATTGTACACATTAGCATTTGCTATTTTCATTAACACAAATAGTTAACTCTTCCTCAAAAGTTTTGCAACTTTCAGTTTGGACTTTTGGTGAACTTTAATGTTCTTTCATTTATTAAGTCAATATTTTATTTCCATAGTATTATTGTACATATTGCCAGAAAAGCTTCATTATAATCCTACACATTTTACTATAAATCACAAAGTCAAACAAAATATTTGAACAGCTGGGTGAGGCACCTTATAAAGCTCTGGATCACACCCTTTTTTTAAACTAAACCAGACTTCAGCCAAACTGGCCCTACATGAAACACCAAATCTATTTAAGTGTCCTAAACCTAAATCAAACTACAATGGAAATAAAACTCTGCCTTAATCCCATTCACAATTGCAATTTCTAGCTTCCACCTCTTTGCTAAGCTTACTTATGCTTTATATTAACCTTGCTTTATAATACCAAGTCATTCATTCAAGGAACACTTCTTGCAGATTGAAGACATGTTTTAAGCAAGTGTAGTAAGGTAATATCTTAGCAGTTAGTATTCTGAAAAACAACTTTCCCAAAAACCTTATTTACTCTTATCTTTATCACCATCTTACACAGTTATTAATAACACATCACCAAATCAAAGCTGCATTTCTACTTTCTATACTAAAACTAGGCAAATATAAAGTTGTTGCTTTATTAATGGACCACCAGGTCATTAGTTCTACCCCTGTCTGCTAAAGACAATGTCAACATTCAAAACTAGTATTAAATTAAGGATGGTTTTTGCTTCTACAATTATTTCTTTAAAACTATTTTTTAAAATCACTCATGTGATCTTTACAAAACTCTCTAATTTTTAATCTGAATTCACAACCTGTTTATTCCCAGTGTTTTCAGACCAATACTGCTCTTTAGTATAAACAGCATTTGCCACAGTTTTTTACCTCCTGAATTGAATATTTTCTCTCAGCCATCACTATCCAAAGGCAAGACAAAGTCTAACATATTATCCATTGCACCTGCTTCAGTTTGAATTCACCTTCAGACCAGAGGCACAAAACCATGCTCAAGCACTGCACGAGGTTTCATCGGTATCTTTCCTAATCATTCTAGTACTTATTGCTGTTACATACACCTCTGATGTAATTTCACATCACATTTGCCCTTTTCACACATTAGCTATTTCTGCATTAATACAGAAAGTTGTTCTTCTGTTCCTCCACTACTGTTGAAATAGCCATTTGATAGCATAAATTCTCTTTGTGCTCTTTAAATACATGATCTGCACTGTGTAGTTCTGAATAGCATTTTATTTCTAACACTGCAGTATCCAGTCATTCAGTTCTCATACAATACCCCAATCCTTCTTTTGTGCCATCACACTTCAGTAGTAGTCTTTTTTTGTTGTTGTTTGAAACTAATTTTTTCAAAGTCTGAAACAAGGCAGATCCCAGGACAAATGCTTGCAGAACTACACTGATGTTCCCCTGGTCATTTACGCTTTCTCAGTGCTCCTTAATAAAGTGACACAATTCTTTTAATAGCCATTAAAGAGATTCCTGAAAAATTACATTAACTGAAAGTCAGAAAGGTAAAAGGTTTGGCAGTTATCTGGGGTAAACTAGTCCTCCTGTAAAACAAATGTCGATATTTTTTACTGTGTGATAAACTGAAATGGAACACAAGCTAAGTTTTTTTTATATCTTATAAACACACATGCACTAAACAACTAATAAATACATATAGTAAAATAACAGATTAACGTAAAAAGAAGCACATCTTAAGTAAAAACTGTACAGTATTATCTATGTTTTGAGCCCATTAGCAGCAGAATAGGTTCCTGAATATTTGGGAATGTTAATCAGAAAAAAAAGGAGGTGGGGGAGAGCAGGAAAGATGACAAATACTCAGTGCATCTCAACTAGAACCTCAAATTTTTTGTTCTCACAACGGCCTGCAGTCATCTTGTTTCCACTGTTGCAACCCTACTGTCTCATGATAGCAGCTGGCTGCTAACAGACACCCCTGGGGCATTCCAAACCCATAAAAAAGGTTCTCTGCAGAAAGAACATAACTGACCTCCAACACTGCTTTTGCAATGCTAGATCTGGAGTGAAATCCCCTGGGATGCAGGATTGCCTGGAGCTAAGGCAACACATACAAGAGGCTCATGGAAAGCCTGAGCCTCAAAATTAGTCATTTCCTGACTCTTCAAGACTTTGATATACAAATGAATACAAGTCACCACCAGAGGAGAACCCCACCAAAGCATTTACTTTGGGCATGTAAGTACTCCTGGAGGTCAAGATGAATGAAGCCATATGAGTGGAAGGAGTGAAGGAGAGCACTTCACTATCCCAAGCAGTATGCAGAGCTTACAATGAAAAAGCATCTACAATGTTCGTTTAACAATGTTCAGTAATGACATATTTACAAACAGCTCACTCTGTTCTAATTTTAAGTGGAAGATGTAAGAAAGAATTTTTTGTCAACTGGTTGCAAAGTATCAGTTGATGGCACATGACTCTATCATGGATGCTTCTTAGTATCATTAGCATAACAAAAAAATGGTAAAACATAAAATCCTTCAGACAAGTGAGCTACAATTTCACCTGTTTGGCTGTGTTTTGGTGTTTTGTTTTTGTTTAATAAGTAAATATCTACTACAAATGGGATTTCCAGCACACTATTACAGCAGAGGATATACCAAGCTGCCCAGAGGTAAGAAAAGTAGCATGCCAAGCAGCTTTAGCCAGAACATGCCTTTGATCCATTTGCTACAACTGCAGGAGCTACAGCAGCCTGCAAGCAGTCAGCCAGTGCACCTGCTGCCACTGCTTGAGAAGAGAGACTGAATGAAGAAGAGGCAACACTCCTTTCCTGTGCACTCACCAAGCTGTGATTGCATAAACAGTCATGTTAATTTCTGTATGATAAAAAGGCCTACCAGTTAATCATGCTTGCAAATACAAAAAGTTTTTAATTTATCAAATTTGCTTTAATCAAAAGCAACTAGAAAAGGCATAGCTTTACAAATTTTTCCTTATTGCTTGTTGCAAGAACTAATTTACTAATTTTTCTTAGTTCAATTTCCTGAATATTATCCAACTCAGGATTCACTGTGCTTTTACACTAGGTACAAACTTAGCTCCACTCAATTTCAATTCTCCAACTATTCCATTATCATAAACTCCACATAAAGGAAACTGGCAAGAGTGGATACCACCAGTAGAACAAAGATCAGCAGCACAGAAAGAAGACATACAAATGCCTAATTCTTATTAGAGAAGAGGAAAATTCAAGTGGTGTTTTGTTGGGTTTTAGGGTAATATGTGGGGATCTGATATTGTATTTTCGAGTCATCAAACATGTAGTACTATCAACATGACAGCAATTTCTGGTTCATCCTTGTTTTTTCTTGTTTTGAATGTTTTTTTTCTTTCTTTTTATCTTTTTTTTTTGTTTAATTTCTAGAAATTGAACTCTTAACTACAACAAAAAAAATGCTATTCTAATGTCCTACCAGTGACATGTTGATAGCGAGTTCTTCCCAGCATGGAATGCATAGCATGTCCCATTTCATGGAAGAGATTCTCCATCATTCCAGGGCTCAGTAGTGTTGGTGCACTCCTTGTTGAACGGGGCAGGCTAAGCATAAGAACAACTACAGGCAACTGGTACTCTCCATTTTCCTTCAACCTGCCTCCACGAACTGTGAAGTGACAATCCTTTCCAAGATAAAAGCAAACATATGGACAGCCAGTGTCATTACATCAATGATATTAAAACTACAATCAAATTACTGAATTAAACTATTAAATCAAACCTAAATATATACTCACATACTCAGTTACACAAGTTGAATTCAATGATCATTAACAGTGTTATTCAATAGCAGCCTGCAATTTCTCCATCTTTATTATTTGCTTTACACTCGTAAGAAAACTACGCTATTCCATAAAGAAAACACTGTGTTGCTTTTAGAAAATCCTATGGTTCAGAATGATCAAAACTTCTCAATTTTTATAAAAAATATCACTAGGTCATAGAAATTTACTTATGTGCCAAATCCATAATCTATAATTAATTTCTCTTCTGATTCTTCAGCTGTAGCTTCTTCATAAAACACACTGCACAGCACTCCAAGTATATTGTGAAATACCAGTTCAGCAGAATAATAAATTAATGTAGATTTAAAGTTTGTCCACTTACCACCTGATTGAGGGTGGTAATTTGCAGATGCTCTACATAGTGAAAAGTCTACTATACTGGCACTAGGCAGCATGAGTGTATGAACCACAACAGCAGGAACCATCCACAGTTTTAAGAAGATTTTTAAATAAAAATTAGTTGTCATTACGAGCTTTCACCTTTAAAGAGTACTAAAATTTCAGAATGTTTTTACTTGTAAATAGTAGGCCAGACAATAGATGTTTAAAAATCCACCATTTCTCTATACACAGCTCTATATTTCATAGTGTCTCTCATTCTGTAGAACAAAGTCTGAATTCAGTCTGTCTGGTGATGTTTTTAAATGAAAGGTTACTCACAAAAATACCTGAAACCACATATAAAGATACAAACTTTCCCTGTTTAATTTATTTTAAATAAAGATAACTTTTCTTAAACTTACACTGAAAGTCAATGGCCCAACACTACAGTCATTACTCAAATAAAAACAAAATTACTCAAAAAAATCACTGGAATCAAACTATAAATGTTACCTGATGTGGTTTATCAGGTCGTTGAAAGAAGTCACAATAGATGTATCCTAGCAAACCTTCAGTTTCATGAACAACAGCCTGAAGAAAAAAAAGAAGTATCATTTCCACAGTGAAAGCACTGATAAGATGTGTAAATTGAAGATGTGGTATTCTAATCCAAAGATTTATTATGAATGAATGGCAAATAAAGTGAGAATAATTAACGAAAAATCTGTTGGTAACTTTAGGTGGAAAAAAATATATACAGGATACATAACGTGTCCCTCAAACTACAACTATTTCTGCATTTCACCCAAAAATAATTAATCACAGATTAGTATGAAAAGTAACAGTGTCTGTAGCCCCTAAATGACTTCTGAGAAGTCAACAGTAACATAATTTGATTTACCATGGAAATAAAAATAGAGAGTATAAGGAGTAATTATAAATTGACCCACAGGATATAAAGAACAGCAGCCCTTGCTGGAGGTGGAAGAGCAGTGAAGAAGACCTGGCAGTGAATATCTGGAGGGAAGATAACAAAGGAATCTAGGAACTTGATGTGCAAATTATTGCCCAAGTTTTTATCTCCATCCTCCCCTAAAAAGAGGGCAGAAAATTAAAGAGGTAAAAAATTTCAAAGTAAAGATGACATATGGAATAATGAGGCAAAGACACAAGTGCTAGAATCCATATGTATCTACAGCATTCTAGTCATGAACAAATTAAAACTAAAAAAAACTAGCAGGGCTCATTCAGGACAGCCTGGAAAGTACAACGATAATTTCCAAACAGAGAAACTGCTTCTGATTCAGGCATCGTTCACCCAGAGATATATTAGAAAGGCATAAAATACCAAGCATGCAAAAGGCAAAGACCTTGAGGTCTAACTTCCAACTAAAATGAGACAACTAGTCTGTGATAGGTACTCAAGGAATTTAAAAACAAAATCTGATTCATGGTTCCCTTCCCTTTGTCATTTCAGATGCTGGGAACAAGAATACTTACCAACTTTCGAACATCTTCAGACCAAACTTCTCCTGTCTGTGTCTGTTCAGCATAAAGGGAGATTCCTAGGAGCCGACTGAACAAACTGTTCAAACCTTCCATGCATGCCCCAAGAGAGAAAAATGGACAGTACAAGCCAGGATCAATGTTGTATCTAAGGAAATAAAAGAATCCCAAAGCAGTCAGTCAGCTGAGCTACATGAACTAGTCTTCACCTCCAAGTCATCAGATATGACAAAATGCACCAGATAAGCCTCAGCGACCCTACTGAGTATGTTTGACTTGATTTTTCACACAGTGATACTATGTCACAGAATGGTTAAGGCACAGTGCTTCTTGGTAACTTAATTTTTCTTATATTGAATTTAGATACCAAATTCAGCAGATGTTGACTGTAACTTTCAGGAGATGTGGCAATCACATAGCTCAGACAGACCACGGCAACACCATGGGTGGCCAGGCTGTGGCTTTTGAACCACAAGAAGGCACCAGCACTCAAGTGCCATTCCCATGCCAAGGCTGTGCCGTGTGATTGATCAGAAAATGGAGGTGGTTTTGGCTGTGGTGTGAGCCAAGTCCTCAGCCAGGGCAGGAAACCAACCAGTAAACAATGCCAACTCTGCAGTCTTGTCTTTCACCGAAGCACTAGAAATATTAAAGAGACACAATCACCTCCCATACATGAATCAAGCTCTAGGGACTCGCTGAACCATGTAGAAAGTATTACACAGCTTCGAGCCACATGAAGATTTTAGTAAGTGACATGGAGTTCAAACATGGCCAAGCTCCCTAAGCCTAACATTAAACAGCTAAGCACGTTCAAGACACTATAGCACAGGAGACAAGTGAGGAGGAATACACCATGCATCTGCATGCACATACACAAACTGAGAATGAACAAAAAGCAGTTATAAAAGTAGTTCAGAAATGTATACAGCATATACACTTGGGCTCAAACTTCCTGAGACTCTGACCCCCAAAAGTAACCAAAATATCTAGCAGAGAAATGCTTTGCAAACTTACACCTTCCACAAGCTGCTCACGGCCACACAACTCTTTGGAGATGACAACAAAATCAGAACTGGAGTCTGCTTGTAGTTGTGTGTGCACCCCAAAAGGCAAAAATGTTTTTGCTTCCTCATTTCACATACAAAGACCTAAGTTTTATTTGTACCATTTTCTGGGGTCTCAGAATAAAAACTGTTTAGAGAATCCCAGTTCCTCTCTTCTTTCCTTTTCTTTCATGTTTTTGTGCTTTTGCTTCATAATGACACAGTAACTAGTCAATGAAATCTAAACACACACCAGCTAGAGTACGATGACTGGACACCAAAGGTGAGATTCATGTTTTGTTAAGGCCTATGATCAAAAGGCTTAGTCAGAGACCAGCTGTGAAAGTCAGCTGGTTGCCATCCACTGTCTCCCCTTACTTCCTCCCCACTCCCACACACAAAAGACCTAAAACTGAAGTCTGCTGGGGATGCTGCTTACAACTGCAGCTACAGCCACTACCCAGCTTCACGGCGCTGTGATGCATGGCAAGGTGGGGTTACTCCCCTATGCCCTGGCACTTGCTTCTGAATATGTCACTGTATTTTGTTTTATTATTCTAGTATCCTTTATGTTATACCACCTTTATCCCATACTCTGGCAGCATTTTGCAACGACCATAGCAACATGTGTCAAAAATACAGGTATGCTCAGTTACAGGATTTTGCTTATTTTCATACTACAAATGCAAGAAGTTAAAGCTGACATTTTCTATTCTATTTTTAATTACACTAGAACATATAAAAAAAAGCAGATTTTGCCTCTACCACACAAATTCTTAAACATGAGTAACAACACTTAAATTCACACTCTGCATGCTGCAACACACATGTTCTACTGCTTGTGCAAAAAAGAGGTTTTAAACCAAAAGAACAAAAGTAAGCATGATATAAAACACTTAGATCAAGTTAAATAAGAAGACTGGAAGCAAGTCTCTAAAAGAAAGTAGAAGAGATTAGTTATTTTGAGTATAAAAGACACTGCTTTATATGCAGAACTCCCCAGAAGTACAGAATTACAGTATATGTGCTGAATATCCTCAGATTTTTAAGTCAGTAATTCCTAAGAACTGCAGCTCCATCAACAGTGGCACCCTCTGGAAAATTGCAGTAGGTAGATCTCAGGCATCTCCAGATTTTTATGGTATCTCTCAGCCATCACCTTCTGCTCAGATCATTACCATGAAACATTAAACCCATCCCGAAGTGCTTCATGTTCTGCTCTGAAGCTTTCCCTGCATACTGACTACAAGACCTGTTAAAATGATCCTTGTGTTAAAAGAAAAAATAACACCTTTTAGCAGCAAGTCATAAAAACCTCTGTAATAGGACTGCTTTTTGTCAAATCACTTTAAAATCTTGTACCGTCATCCTACATCCTACTATGAATACTAAATGGAGTTTCCCCTTTGTAATTCAAACAATTGCTTCTTTAACTAAAGACTCACCATAAATTACAAGTCCACTATAAAAGTATTGCCTCATTAGAAGTTTACTATAATGTAAAGCAGGACTGTGCCACACAATCCAAGCTGTGAAACTTGATTATCCTTAATTTTTAATTTATATTTATTTCTAAATAAAGATGAAATAGTAGGTATTGATACTCTTTTTGTACAGCTAAACAATTTTATGAAAAAAGACAAAGTTACACATCAGTTTTAGTCCTAATTCAGCCTTGTTTTAAGTAGTAACCTAGAGGTAGATCTCCTCTGAGCCAATTCAGATGAGCAACATTCATGACTTCTGGCTCTGCCCCAGTTCTGTTCATGCCACACTAGCTTCTGCAGAGCCACTCAAATTTACCATACTTTGGTTTATGTTCCAGAAAGTTTTACTACTCCAGGTGGAATACAAGGCCCAGCTCCAACACTCTTCCAGAACGAGGGGAGTAATGCAGACATGCTCCAGTGGTTTCAGATGGAGAGTGTACGAGGGCTCTTTGCGGGGCTTTTTGCAGAGCTCATTTCAGCCTGCCCTGCAAGAGCTATGCTGGCCGTGTGCGAAGCCCACCTAGTACCTCCCCAAGACATCCAATATCACCCAGGGTTTTCCTGTCATTTCCTCCCCATTAACTGGGAGAAGAGAGCTGACTGTATTTCAAGAAAGAACCCATATGATACAATACTACAAATATACACTTCAGTAAACCAAATTTTAACTCCACCAACAGCTCACAGTCATAGCAAAACATCGGAATTTCAAAACAGAAGGAAATTAAAACATGAAACTCTTCATGAACCAGTGAGTTCAGCTGCAGGAGAAGAGGATATGACAATGATAAGGAAATGAACAACAGCACCCTTGAAAACACTTCATGAAATTAAGCCACATTTACACAGCAAGCAAGGAAAAAAAAAAAAAAAAAGTGTGATATCAAGAGAGATCAGACTGCTCAAAATTTTCAGAAGAGCAGAATTTTTTTCTGACGGACCAGCTAACCTAGGAAAACATTTCCAAGCACAAGAAAGACAAGAATGTCATCAAGAGTAGCCAGAATGGATTCACCAAAGGCAAGCCATGCTTGATCAACTTAATAAACATCTATGATTAAACAATTGGCCTGGTAGACAAGGGGAGAGCAGTGTTACCTGGACTTCTGTAAGGCCTATGACACGGTTTTCTGTAAGATCCCATGCCAGAGGGTCACGCTGCCACCCAGAGACACGTTGACAGGCTGGAAAAATGGACTGAAAGGAACCTCGTGAAGTTCAGTAAGAAATGCAAAGTCCTGTACCTGGGAAGGAACAGCACCAGGCACCACTATATGCTGGAGGCCACCCAGAAACAAAGCAGTTTGGATGAAAAGCACATTAGTGGCATACACCAACCAAATGGGCCCTTACTGCAAAGAAGATGAATGGCATCCTGCCCTGCATTAGCCAAAGTATTGCCAGCAGGCTGAGGAACCCGATCCTTCCTTCCCCTCTCCTCAGCACTGTGAGGCCACACCCGAGCCCTGTGGCCAGTGCTGGGCTCCTCGGTACAAGAACAGGCACACACTGGAGAAAATCCAACAAAGGCCCACTAGGATGACTCAAGAACTGGAGCATCTTGCCTATGATGAAAGGCTGAGAGAGCTGGGACTGTTCAGTCTGAAGAAGAGAAGGCCCAGGATGATCTTATTAATGAGTATAAATACCTGGACGGAGAGTGTAAAGAAGATGGAGCCAGGCTCTCCTCAGTGGTGCCCAGTGACAGGACCAGAGGCAAGGGGCACAAACTGAAACACACGAGGTTCCCTCTGAACATATGGAAACAGTTTTTCCCTGTGAGGGTGACTGAGCACTGGCACAGGTTGTCCCTAGAGGTTGTGGAGTGTTGCTCCTTGGAGAGTTCAGAAGCTGTCTGAACACGGTCCTGGGCAATCATCTCTAGGTAGAATCACAGAATATTTGGGCTGGAAGGGACCTCCATAGGTTATCTAGTTCAACTCCTCTGTTATAAGCAGGGACATCTCCA